AAGCGCCATTTAATTCTTTTCAAACTCTGCTCACCGGTGAAAATTACTGAAGAAACCATTCAATGTTTCACACATCCTATGTGTAAATATCAGTCCTGTTCATGGCACGGGCCTCTGAGAGGTGGAGTGAAGGAAATTAGGTACAAATTAATATGGAAGGGTGATAATTTGAGATGGTTTTCAACTTTAAGTTGGAGAATAGATTAGAACAGAGATCTGTTCATATATCACAAAGTATATTTTTGCTACATTTTAATAAAAGTTTCCCTCCCATTCCCTTCCCCACCCTCCATTCAGTTAAGGGTGGGTGCACATAAATACTGTTTGCATGGACAAATGTGGCCTGCACCCTTGATACCATTCCTTCTTTTCTTTTTTTCTAAGCTTCTTGCTTCCTTTCCACATCACAGCCTGGTATGCAAATACTCAGAGAAGACTTTATGTTTATGCTTTCTTGATTCCTAATGTATCTCACATTAAACAGGAACATTCACACAACCAACTCTTAAATTAGAATATGTGATTTTAAAACTTCATTCCCCTGAGAATCTGGGGAGAAAATGTGGAACAATGACACGTTTACCACGTAGAAGGCTGTTCTTCAGTTACATCCCAACTGATTCACTCACACTTGTGAGGTAAGTGCTGACAACAGAGCTAAAAACAGGGCTGGAGAGTGTGACTGATGCTGGTGTGGAGACCGGGAGGTGGAGGGAAGGAGGAAAACTGGGCCAATGGCTTCTGCAAGTGAGTGTGACAAAGCAGCTGAATGTGACTTTTGTATTTGCCAGTCATCTGGGTATAGGCCATGAGTGGCAGGCAGTTCTAGGCCTCTGCCCTGATGTGGCTCTAAACTACCTTTGATAGCTCACCTGGGAAACTCAAGGTGAGTTGTAGGACTGCAGACTTTCATAGTGTTAGGGTCCTGGGCCAGACACTTAGCTAACCCATTGCCAGAATAATCTGGGTATGTAATAAAATCCTTTACACCCGGCCCCCCCAACCCCCCAATTTGACAGTATATATCAAGAGCTTACTTAAAAGGTCATTTCAGCTGGACTAGGTTCCTGGGGCTCAGATACCATTCTGATGGCTGAGTAGGTGTTACCTTTCCTCCAAAGATAATCATTTACATTTGTGGCTGGAATGTTGAGGAATGGATTTGGTCTGGGCTCCTTGATGTACCCAGGGTTTTCTTACGCGTTGGAGGAGACTTCTGGAAAAAATAGTTCCAGACTTTCGCTCTACTTCATTGAGTGTTAAAGATATAAATCATGCCTAGTAGGGAGAAGGCGGGTGCAGACTGAGGCCACATTGTTGGATACTGCCATGGGGCCCTTGGGAAGGAACCCATCGAAAAGGAGGGGCTCCAGGGACTTTCCTGGCGGTCCAGTGGATAAGACTTCGCCTTTCAATGCAGGGGGTGCGGGTTCAATCCCTGGTTGGGGAGGTAAGATCCCACATACTTCGCGGCCAAAAATCCAAAACATAAAACAGAAACAATATTGTAAGGAATTCAATAAAGACTTTAAAAGTGGTCCATATCAAAAGACAACAACAACAAACTTAAAAAAAAAAAAAACACAAAAAGGAGGTGCTCCAAATGGGACAAAGTTCACACCTAGCTCTAAAGACAGAGGGGAGGGTGGTCACCAACCTCACTCCAACCTGTGTTCTGATAGACTTTGGTAGAACAACTAGGCACACGTGAATTGAAAAAGCTCCATCAGTTAAGAGCTGAAGCACTCATGGCCCAAGCAATTCTTGTGTTGAAATTCCACTTGAGGAGAAAAACTGTCTTCAGGCTATGTACCTCCCCAGATATGCTCACCCCACTGCATCCCAGGCTTCAGCCCGTTGCTTGACTTTCCCAGTAAAGTAAGCCCTGGGAATGCTGAATCATTCCTGTGGTCTTAAATCTCCTGTCACTTGCTGCCAGCCTTGGTGGGGCAGGGATTGGGGAGGAGACATCTGAGGTGGGTGTTGGCAGGGATTGAGCTGAGGGCTCTTTTTAACAGCTCCAGACTCAGTTCCTACGCTACCCGACTCATGGAAGCTCTGGATTTTCCAGTGGCTGCCTAGAGGTGCCAGGTGACATAGCCCAGGAGTTCAGGGGAGGTGTGAACTATAGGACAAATTTGGACCAAAAAAAGACAGCAGATTGGAAAGAGTTTGCAGACAAAATTCTCCCCCCTACTGCTATCTCTTTGCTGTTGCAAGATACAGCAACTTGAAATAGTCTCTCTGAGAAATAAGCTGGGTTTTGAAGCTGTAACAATTTGGATAACATGCCACCTTTTATTTGCTTTCCTCCTCCCTTCATTCCTCCTTTCCTTCCCTTTGCCCTCACTCCTACTTCCCTACAATTACAGCCCCCAATGAAACACCAGCATGCAACTCAGGTTGTTTTCTAGAGAACCCAGGCTAACACAGAATATAAAAAAAGGTGAATTTGGCAGAAGTTTGCAATAAAGGCAAGGGTATGGAAGAAACTTCAGCGCACCGAGCATGTTTAGTAGGCCTAATAGACCAGGGGCAACAGATCTGGGCTCTGGATCTATCATAAAGATGGGTTGACAAGTTGGGGGGTAGGAGTAAAGTGTGGTTATGGAATTATGCCTCCAGGAGGTACATTTCCTGCCCTCCAGCAGGTGGCAACAGGAAGACAACTACGATGACTTGTAGCTTTGGATAGGTATGCCTATACTCCAGAGACTACAGAAATATTTGGGGTAATAGTCTCATTTAGGGGTTGAAATTATTCACTGCATCAAGCCTTTATAGGAAAAAGTAGTAATAAGAAGTGATCAGCCCGGGGCTTCCCTGGTGGTGCAGTGGTTGAAAATCCGCCTGCCAATGCAGGGGACACGGGTTCGAGCCTAGGTCGGAAGATCCCACATGCCGCGAAGCAACGAAGACTGTGCACCACAACTACTGAGCCTGTGCTCTAGAGCCCGTGAGCCACAGCTACTGAGCCCGCGTGCCGCAACTACTGAGGCCCGCGCGCCTAGAGCCCGTGCTCCACAATGAAAGAAGCCACTGCAACGAGAAGCCCGTGCACCGCAACGAAGAGTAGCCCCGGCTCGCCGCAACTACAGAAAGCCAGTGCGCAGCAACGAAGACCGCAACACAGCCAAAAATAAATAAATTTATTAAAAAAAAAAAGTGATCACCCCGTCAGTGAAAATGAAGAGAAATATAGTGAGAGGCCCTCTGTGTCCACTGGACACAGTTTTGCTAAAATCTTGGAAGTCTGTGCTTATAAAGATAAGGGAAGGTAGAGTGATTCTTGCACATACACATCAGGCTGTTTAATTCTTACCACAGCCCAGGGTAGCAGACATTATTCTCACCTCCATTTTGCAGATCAGTAAGAGGAAACTTGGTGAGGTAGAGTGCTTTGTTCCAGGCTACACAGATTCAGGGCTCAAACCACCCTGAGGTTCTTTGGCTCAAAATCCCAGCTATAGTTTTGAAGGGAACTGAAGAGGAGGTAAACTTCACCTCCTCCTCCTAGAGATTCAAAATAGTTTTACCTGGTTAGTGGCTCTACTTCAGGCAATGAATCAAGACAAAAGGGAAATGATTCAAAAGTTGAGCGAATTGGGACTCTATTAATGTGCCAGGTAAGGTAATCTGTGTTTGTATCGGACACCTATAATTTATGTAGATCCACACACATTTTTTTCAGATGCTGCACAAATTGGGAAATGTGTGTTGTCGAACCATATGTATTTGTATGTGTTCAATACACTGTATAATTGACTCAATTATCCATGTGGGGATTATTCACTTTTAATTTGCAATCTGGCTTCTTTCAGTTAGGATGTTTCAGGGCTGCTCTAGGAATGCCAACTAATGTAAATAATAATTTAAGTAAAACATAATTGGGTACGAAAATTAAATCCAATCTTTTCTCAGCTCCTGAAGATTCTACAGCTGAAATGTAACTCTAATTCATCCACTATCTTTTCATTCTCCAATGTCATTTTACTACCAAGGATTTTATTGCTTTCCATAGATTATTGCAATAGCTCCCTATCTGGCTTTCCTGCTTACCTCTTTCCCATCCAATAATCATTCTGCTTACAGTAATCTTCAACAAACAAACAAACACAGTTCTCACAAAAATTTCTTTGCTTGAAAACATTTAATGGCTCCCCATTTCTCACCAGACTAAATGTACATGCCACAACCTATCATTCAAGGCTTCTTCATGCCACCTGTCCCAGGAAGTTTTTCTGATCCAACCTCGGATGCCTTATCACTGTTCCCAGCTCTGAATCCCCTTAATGCACTACATGTTTTTCTCTAAGTGAGACAAAGGTATTCCTGAACCCGCGTTGTCTCTCTGTTCTCCTGAGATGTCCTTAATCGCAGTTTCTGCGGCGATTCGTCTCCTCTACTCCGCAGTACCAAGCTCAGTGCCCGACCACAAAGAAAGGCACAACGAACATTTGCCCATTTACCTGCTGGCAAACCTCAAGAGCAGGAATTTTGGTCTTTTATATCCCGAGTGTCTAGCACAGTGCCTGGCACACAGTAGGTGCTCAAAGAACACTACTGAACGAATAAGAGTACAAAGAGCCCAGGCTCCGCGTGGGGGCACTGCAGAGCTCCAGGGATGTAGATACAGGAAGGGCTGGTGGCGCAGGGCACAGGGTGGAGCTGGCCCTGGGCTCCTTCGGGGGGCGCGTTCCACCGCCTGCCCACTTGCAGCGCAGGCCAGACACCGCGGACACTGCTTAAACTTTTTGTTCCAAAAAAAAGTATGTGTATATGTACGTACGCGTAAATGTATATGTTTATACACACACACTACCTACATAATACATAAAAATAGCCACACCATATCCAGGTATGCGTATATATATAAAATAGGCAAATATGTACATATAAATAAATTAATATATGTACAGCCTTAACTCGGAACGGCGGGAGTGGCGGGGAGGACGACGGGAACGCCCCTTCGCCCCTCCAGGATCGCAGGACCGGAGCGGCGCGGCCCCTGCGTGGCTTGAGCCTTCCGGCTTGCCGTCCGCCGCTGCCGCCGCCATTGGTCGGACTCCAGGCAGCTGATCCTGGCGGCGGGGCCAGGGAGCTTCGAGGATGGCGGCGTCCGCGGCGCTGATTCTGCGGGAGAGCCCCAGGTAGCCCCGGCTGAGCACGGGGGCAGCGCGGACAGGGCAAGCGTAAGGATGCTGCTGCTGTCTGTCGCCGAGGCGCGGGTGGGGGGCCGGGGAGGAGGGGCAGGTGCGGGGCCGCGGGTGTCCGGAGGGGCGGGCGCGGGGCTGGCGGAGTCGCAGTGCGGGCCTCGCGGGATTGCGCGAGTCTGCGGGTGCCTCCAGCTGCATGGTAGTTCACCTGCGTGGACTTACAGTGGGCCTGGGCAGCTGAGGTCAGTACGACAGTGTGTGGTCAGTGTCACCGTTCCCCGAGGCTGTATCGCAGGTACCCAAGGCAGCCTGGAGTAACACTGAAATCACGTGGAAAGGTATTCCGTTTCCGTTTTCAGTTGTCTTTCAGACCTGATTATTAGAAAGTCTCCCATTGGTCCCGGATGGTTTTTAATACTTAACACGCGTTAATATACCTTTTCGATCAAGATAGACTAGGCCTCAGGCCAGGAGTTTTGGCTTGTAACAGTATCTAGCCAGAATTGAGTAACATTGCTTTTGTTTTCATTTGATTTCTTTTGAGTTCATTTGTTTATTTAGTTCATTTCTATTTATGGTAGGTAAGTAAGGTCGGCTGTCTATGGTGGTGAGGTAGTTATGTTTTAAAATAAAATTATTTAAGTAAAAGTGACTCCATTTAATGAAAAATAATAGTGCAGGTGGTGTGTGGATGCAGAAAAGTGCGGAAGTATACAGGCAAATAATTGAGGCTGGAGAATAACTTTGTGTCTAGATTGGACAGGAGTCTTTTTGAAGAAGAGAGTTGTCATTTTGAAGTTTTTCCTTTTTTGATTACTTGAGTTCTGACAGTCAGTTCCTTTTCTCACACCAATGTCCTGGGTAACACATCACATCAGTAAACCATATTCAGTGTGGTGCAGTAGAATTGTTCTTATCACATAATTTAAGTTGATTATTACAATTGAAACAGGGTTTTAAAACAGCTGTGTACTTAGTGACCCCAAATGATATTGTATGTAGTTTTTTTTTTTTTATTCCATTACCTGCCATGCAGCAGTCTTTTCTTTCTAATTTTGGTGTAATTGCCAATTCCCTTCTCCCACTCTTCTCAAAGTTCTGTTTTGAGTTAAGTGGATACATAAACTTTCACTCCTAAATTAATACCATTCCCCACAGAGTGCAAGCTTCTCCTAGTCGTTTGCCTTGCCCAGAAGAAAGAGAAAATTTGCCAGATAGACCTTTTCAACAGATATACTTTTGGAGGTATCTTTTGGAAACATCCTGCCTTTGCTGGCCATCATCTGTTTTTCTTTATTTTACTCAGACTTACCTTGTAGCAAGCAGAGTTGTCGAAATGAAAACTTACAGACAGCTGTACTTACGGTAACTACAGTACCACTTGGGGAAAACTCATTTTAAAACTTTGTTTTATGAATTTATTTAGCATGAAAAAAGCAGTGTCGCTGATAAATGAAATAGATATAGGAAGATTTCCACGATTGCTCACCCGAATTCTTCAAAAACTTCACCTGAAGGTTTGTATGTTTGCACTTCTATAGATTATAATATATTCTTGTGATTCCACTGCAACTCTAGGTTTCTACTTGAAGTACCTTTTGCTAGGTATTGTTCTCCAGCAGGTCCTCAGGAACACCGGGTCTCTAGAAAATTTGATAATATCCCACGGTCAAAAGTTTGGGAACTTCTGTCTTCATTCAAATTAATTTTTTTAAATCATGGAACTTTTCAGAGTATATTTTATGGTAGTGTTAATAGTTAATATTTAAGCATGAATGTTGTGTGCAAAATTTTCCAAATGTGTTTGACCAGGGAACTGTTTTATCATGGTATTTATTTTGGAACCAAGGCTCTGTGGAACACGCTTTGGGACAATTCTGATATCATGATTTCATTCTTTGTCTTAAAAATAACTCTGTAGTTTTGCTATCAACCAATATGTAATTTTTCATTTAATCTTTCTCTTCCACTTTTATTTTAAGGGTGTGGTTATCTTGGATATATTGTTGCTTAGTAATTCATTACTTGGTTAACTTGCTAACATTACTTAGTTAACTTCTTTACCAGGTTAATAAAATTTAATTCCATTCAACATGTGTTTAAGGAGTGCCCATTAACTGCTCTGCCTGGTGCAAAGTATCACCATTAAATGAGAACCCAGACTCTTACCTCTTCTTTTTCCTGGCCAGAGACCAGTCCCAAAGCCCTGCCCTTTCTCCCTCTGAAGTATCTCTCAAATCCAAGTTCTCTTTGTAATCTGAGTTCAGAGCCTTATTATTTCTCCCTTGGACTCCAACAGTTACCTTCAAACTGGTACCGCTGTCTGTAGTCTTCTACCTTCTTATCACTTCTTCATGGTGCTGTTCCATTTATCTTTCCAAATATTTTTTTCCAAAAAAAAAAAAAAAAGTTGATCATATCTTTACAGTGTTCAAAGCCATCAATGACTTTCCATTGCTCATGGGAAAAAGTTCATATTCCTTAACATTGTATTATAATAACGTTACAATATAGGTACAGTCTGTGTTTTCCCCACTTTGCAAGTGTTTCAGCTACCCTGGATGCTCTTTTACTGGAACGTACTTTGAACTTTTTTGACTTGGTGTCTGTGTAATATACTCTTTACCTTACCTGAAATATCTTCCCTTCTTTAGTGAATAAACTATTCATCTTTCAAGGATTTGACAGTCCTACTCTCAGCAGCTCATCCTCTCTTTGCTTCTAAAACACTTGGTTCATCCTCACCTCACTTTAGTACTACATCATAAGTATTTGTTTCATGATTACAGGGTCTTTCTCTGACCTTGAATACTTTAAGTATCATGTCTTACTCATCTTTATATTTCCCACACTTGATACATTGATAGTTATGCAGTTGGCACTCAATAGCTATACTTGGAGTTCATTCTTTTCCTTGCCATGGGAAACACAAAATGAATATAGGTTCTCTGAATTCCTGCCTATAAGGAATTTGTGATGTAGAAGGAGAAACAGGAGGAACAACCACAGTAACAATAGCAGCTACATTCTGTGGTGTTTGCTATTCACAGTTCCATTACTCCCTCTGTGACGGGTGCTGTTCTAATGGCTTTGTGGTATTAACTCATCTGATGCTCACAGCACCCTTAGGAAGTAAGAACTGTTGTCATCCTTATTTTATCCATGAAGAAAGTGACATAGAGACCAGTGAAGTAATTTGCCCAAGGTCACACAGCTAGCTAGTAAGGCAGTCTGGCTCCAGAATCCATCCCTCTGACCCATGACAGTAAAGCTCAGGAAAGAGTGTGAAACGGTATATAAATCAGTCCCAAAGTGAATGATGCAGGCAGTTGATACAGAGTTTCTTTGATTGTCTGAGTTGGTGGCTGCCTTCTTTTTTATTTTATTTATTTTATTGTATTTTTCGGTTGAAGTATAGTTGATTTACAGTGTTGTGGGTGGCTGCCTTGTTAAACACACACAAAGTGGTACGGGACACAGAACACTTATATACATCTTTTGTTCTTCGTACTGAGGGAGGATGGAACATCTGCAGGAAACTCGTGACCCTCTGGAGTTTGTCTTTGACCCTCTGGAGTTGAGAAAACATTAGGATCTATCTTAGAGTAACTGAATGGCCAAAGCATTCCACGGAGGTGTTTGAATGCCGTGCCTTCAGAGGTGGGGCGTGGAGGTGAGAAGGTGTGGTTGTTGAGAGCTGAAGCAGCTGAGGACAGAAGCATCTGTATTTGATTACTTGCCTGCAGAAAGTCAGGAGAGAAAGTCAGGAAAGGGGCAACCCATCCCCACTCCCCCAACCCTCCCGGACAGTTTTAGGGAATGTTCTTCCAGAGGGACTCCAGTTGTGATAAGGGCTCTTACCAAAGAGTTGGCAGCGACATCTCAGATCTGCCAGCTTTCTTTTATGTACTCTTGGTCTGTCAGGTTGGCCTTTGCCTTGGGACAAGCAGAGTCCTGAGAGCGGTGAAACCGCATGCAGGTAAGTTGGCGAAGAGGTTTAGGGATTTGGTTGCTATTCTTAATGTTATCAGCTTGACACTTTGATTTTACCAAGTTTGATCTTGGTAAAATTGGATTGTGGGCAGAGGGTATCTGTTTCTGTCCAGACTGGTTCCTTGAAATCTCTAGTAGAAATAAACATGGGGAAAATAAGCTTAGGTATAGAATATGGGCACGCCTAAGTATGGGTCTGAGCATCTATTCCTGAGCAATCGTGGCATATAGGAATACTTGGGAATTTTGGGTTGTTTGTTACCAATGTGTGAAGGGTGCTGGTGGCCTTTAATGCCCAGGAACTTTGGTTTTTTTAACTTTTTATATTATATTGGAGTATAGTTGATTAACAGCATTGTGTTAGTTTCATATGTACAGCAGAGTGATTCAGTTATACGTATATACGGATCTATTGTTTTTCAAATTCTTTTCCCATTTAGGTTGTTACATAATATTGAGCAGAGTTCCCTGTGCTGTACAGTAGGCCCTTGTTCATTACCCATTTTAAGTATAGGAGTGTGTACGTGTCAATCCCAATCTCCCTAACTATCCCTTCCCCCCTGGTAACCATAAGTTCATTTTCTAAGTCTGTGAGTCTGTTTATGTTTTGTAAATAAGTTCATTTATATCTTTTTTTAGATTCTGCATATAAGCGATATCATGTGATATTTGTCTTTTTCTGTCTGACTTACTTTACTCAGTTTTACAATCTCTAGATCCATCCATGTTGCTGCAGATGGCATTATTTCATTCTTTTTAATGGCTGAGTAATATTCCATTGTATATGTGTACCTTTAAATGTCTTGCAGTGAGTAGGACAGTCCTGTACGAAGAATTGTCTCATCCTGCATGCTAATAGAGTCTGCCTTGGGAAACACTGAAGGAGATCAGAGTAACTTCCTTATCTGTGAACTTAAAAACAAACATTTGTGGCCTCTACATTTTTAAAATAGCTGTCACAACTCATGCAATTGAAAAAAAAAAACCCTCATATACCTTGCTCCAGAGACTCTTAGGCCCTCCCACAAAGCCCATTGATGTTACCATGTTATATGTCTAGTTCCGCAAGATGAGGTGTCTGGATTTCTGGCCATGGCCGACTAGCAACAGCAAACTGGGGGGTGAAGGCGCTCCTGTGATGGGGCATGTAGGCAGTTTCAAGAATCAACTGCTGGGTATAGATTGAAGTGGAAGAATTATGAAAATCAGACACAAGAAATACAAAAGCAAAGAAATCTGAGGGTTTTTTCTGAAGTGAATAACCATCAGTGTATCTTAGCAGTTCTTTAGGAAACTAACTGCAGCACGGAACTTGGATGCTCGTAATTATGATCTGACTTATTGCAAGAATCTAGTGTAATCCAATATACTTCCTTTACAGAAGTCTAGAATGGGTGCCGTACATTTCAGAAAGATTGCTTTTAAAAGTTTAAAATAAAAGTTCTTTTATTTGATAGATTGACTTGCGGGTACCACCATATTTCCTCATTATGACAGATAGAGAAGTCTCATTATATTAATATAAAGGACAGTCACAGATGTAAACCCCAGCATACAGAAATGCCTGAGGATTTTGTTGTTGTTGTTGTTACAGTGTATGGAGGGTGTTGCTGGCATTTAATGCCCTGAGACTTTAAATGTCCTAACGATGTGCAGCACGGTCCTGTTCAAAGAAGAATTGGCCTCACCTATGTGGACAAAAAAAGAAAAGAGTAGCTTATCTCTGAAAATGCATTTATTTTGTACTTAATATAAGCTGGAGGGCTTCTTACAACTTAGTTTATTAGGTTAAAATGATATATACATACATTTTAAATTATGGCATATGCAGACTACTAGGACCAAGTGTTCTTCCATTGTGGTGTTGGTGTGTGTGTATGCCTGTGTATGTGAGTCAGAGCTTGGATTCTGGACCACAGGCCTCTCTTGTCTCTAAAGCCGTGCTCGGAGTTTTTAAAACCTAATTGCCTTCATAATTATTTAGATAGTATACTGTCTTCATAGAATAGAAGATCCGTATAACTTTCTGAGGAATGTGACCTGATTTCAACTATATGTGGAATTAAGATGAGTTCACGCATTGTGCATGTTAAGAAAATAAATTCTTCAAAAAAAGAAAAAGTTGGAAGAATGGATTTTTGATTTGTTATTTTTTTGTGCCCTTAAAGTTCAAAATAGAGTGCATAAGTGAAGTGTTTCAGTTACATTTTAAATTTCACAAATAGTTTATGAGGAAGTTTTTGTTTTAAGACATTTAAACAACATGGACGAACTGAAATGCCCCCCTTGGCTAACTCTTGCCCCTTCCTCCATCTTGATTCTCTCCTGTGTGAGTTATCTATTGCTGAATTGCAAATCTCCCCCAAATTTAGCCGATTAAACCAACAATAAGCATTTATCATCTCTCACCCTTCCTGTAAGCAGGAATTTGGCTTGGCTGGGTGGTCCTGGCTTGGGGTTCTCATGAAACTGCTCTCAGGTGTTGGTTGGGGCATCTGGTACCTGAAGCTTTGACTGGGGTAGAGGATTTCCGTCTAACATGGCTACATGGTGGCACCAGTTAGTTCCTTGTCACATGGGCCTTTGCTCCTGACACGGAAGTTGTCTTCTTCCAGAATGAGTGGTCCAAGAGAGGGAGGTGCTGTCCTTTTCATGACCTAGGCTTGGATATCACATACCTTCCCTTTTACTATGTTCTTCTGGTTAGAAGTAAGTCAGTAAGTCTGGCTCATATTCAGGGGAGACAAAATTAGGCTCCATCTTTTGAACAGAGGAGTGTTAAAAGAATTTGCAGATATGATAAAACCACCACACCTCCCTAGAAGGAGTCTTTGTTGTCGCTTTGGTTTTCATCTTTCCAGGTCTTTTTTTCAAGTATTAATAAATACAGATGTGCAAACATGTGCACACATCTATAAATAGAAATTTTTGGTTTTTATATAAATGCGTTCATAAGTGGCATTATACTGTTTACCTTTTTCACTTATCACTTGTATCAAAGATCTTTCCATGTCAAGTCATACAGCAGTTATTCTTTTTAAATACTGTTTTTCCTTTCTGCCTGTGTATATATGTCTATGGCATATGCTTTTTAAATATATAGAAAAAATTAACATCCATTTTCCATTTAAAATTTAAGTTTTGGGCTTCCCTGGTGGCACAGTGATTGAGGGTCCGCCTGCCAATGCAGGGGACACAGGTTCGTGCCCCGGTCCGGGAAGATCCCACATGCCACGGAGCGGCTGGGCCTGTGAGCCATGGCCGCTGAGCCTGCGTGTCCAGAGCCTGTGCTCCGCAACGGGAGAGGCCACAACAGTGAGAGGCCTGCGTACCACAAAAAAACCCAAAAAATTTGTTTCTTGGACACTTGCTCTCTAATTTTATAAACGTGGGCCTTAAATTTCTCCCACTGAGAGGGTAAAAACGAATATATCTCCTTTACTTTCTCTTCAACACCCAAGTATGTGTGGGTTACTTTTGGTACCTAGGAAGAAGTTAACCTGCTTCTGTCTGGAAGCAAATAGAGTGACTTACATTTAATATTGATCTACCCAGGGTCGTTGCTGGAGCAAGATATTGACTATGGATTTGGAACTTTGTTTCATGGCTGTATTTTATTCTCCATTTGTTGTTCTGCTCACATATTTTAAGCGCCACCTTATTTTAAGGGTGCACGTTTCATGTACCAGTGGATGGGGGGCGATACATGTTCCCTTGTCCCCCTTCACTCCAAAGCACTTTATTAATATGATGTCCTTGAAGATCTTGAGAATGTCCCTTTTCTTGCTCTTTTTAAAAATGTCTCGGGACTTCCCTGGCGGTCCAGTGGTTAAGAATCTGCCTTCCAATGCAGGGGAAGTGGGTTCGATCCCTGGTCGGGGAGCTAAGATCCCACATGCCTCGTGGCCAAAAAACCAAAACATAAAGCAGAAGCAGTATTGTAACAAATTCAATAAAGACTTTAAAAATGGTCCACATCAAAAAAAAAAAAATCTTAAAAAAAAAGTCTCATTTTCTTGTACATATTGAGGACACTGAAGTTTATTTTTCTACGTGCTCAATCACTATTTTTATTTTGTCAAAATATCTCATTTGGTGTATATTTAAAGGAATCAGATTGACAAACTTGGAAGTTAAATTGTACATATCCATTGAATTTAATGCAACATGTGGTTCATTGATTGTACATGAGTAATACTGTTATTCTCTTCCTCATATTGATAAAGTCTGGTACTGTAGGTCATTATTTGAAGAAGGTGTATGGTAATCACAGAAATTCTGGAACTTTAAAATCAAAACATTGCTCTTGAGGTAAGTGATTGGCATTTTGGCCAAATAGGGTTCATGCTTTTCTCAGTCATAAAACAGGTAGTAGATACTGGGAGTTCTGGTGACTAGCCTCCCCAAACCAAAAATATGCCAGCTTAGAGTTCTAATGCTGCTTCACTTAAGCAATTGTAAAGTTGTACCTCATCCTAAGCTGTTAAGGCATGGACTTCTGAAACTTCTCCATGTAGCTGTTGGGGAGAGGCAGCAGCAGGGAAAGTTGTTTTTGGTATGTGTGGATAAAGTATTTTTATTTGAAAGCAGTTCTAATAGTGTATATTTTTCATACTTGAAAAACCAGTCTTTAGATCAAGGAGATTATTTTGGAAATGAAAGAAAGGAGAGTAGCTGGAACTTATACTCAGATGGCTAACTTCTTTCTTTCATATATTGCTTATAAAAGTAATGTGTATAATGTGTAAGTTTTAGAAAATATTAAAATTATCAAAAAGACTTAATTTCTTGCTTTATATATGCTCTTATAATAATCCATACTTTTGCAAAACTCATTAAAAAGGGAAGTTATTGGAACAATTATTTGTTTTTAATTTGTCTTTCTAACTAGACGATAGTACTCCTGAGGACATAAACTATCTATGTAGCACATAATAAGTACTCAGTAAATATATATATATATATGTGTGTGTGTGTATATATATATATATTTATATATATATATTTTTATATTTATGTGTATATATATATATATATTTTTTTTGTACTTCTGCAGTATCAGTTGTGATTTCTCCTCTTTCATTTCTTATTTTATTTGGGTCTTCTCTCTTTTCTTCTTAGTGAGCCTGGCCAGAGGTTTGTCAATTTTGTTTACCCTTTCAAAGAATCAGCTCTTGGTTTTATTGATTTTTTTTCTATTGTTTTTTTTCATCTCTATTTTATTTATTTCCTCTCTGACCTTTATTAGCTCCTTCTTCTGAATTTAGGTTTTGTTTTACTTTTTCTAATTCTTTTAGGTGGTGGGTTAGATTGTTTGAGATTTTTTTTGTTTCTTAAAGCCTGTATCACTGTAAATTTCCCTTTAAGAATTGCTTTTGCTGCATCCCATAACCCATTGACTTTTAATAAAATAATCCTAAGGGTTAAACTAGTTGCCACCTCTCTATCTGATGGGAATCCTGGTGCTAGGTAATGGAGGATGTAGATAAAGGTTCCCAAGGTTAACGGTTTTTATCTGTTTAATGCTTCCAGGGTAGGCTCCCTCTTATTAAATGCCTACAGGGGCTTAGGGCTAGGTAAGGTCATATACTGGCAGAGGTTTTGGGGTGAGTTGGGGGGAGGAAAGAGCTACCAAAGGAAAGGAGCCCCAGGTATTTTCTGCCTTAAAATGCTGTTCTCTTAGATGGAGATTTTGCTCTGGGCTCTTAGAAGAGTTGCTGGGGCCCATTATAATTGGACAGTATTATTACAGAGAAGGTGTCCCCCCCCCCCCAATGTTTTTTAAATTTTCTTTCTCAATTTTTATTTTATACTGGAATATAGTTGATTATAATGTTGTGAGTAAAGATGGAGATTACTATTAATTATTGTTAACATTTTGGGGTTTTACCTTGTAGTATTGTTTTTTCTAAATATCCATTTTTAAAAAAAATTTTTTTATACAGCAGGTTCTTTTTAGTTATCCATTTTATACATATTAGTGTATATGTTAAATGTCCATCGTTTATGTTATTTACCATTATTTTCCACCTCCTATACATCATAGAATTGAAAATACTGGGTTTTTTTAATGAAATTTATTTGGCAAGAGCCAGGTAATGAACTGTACTATGATTTTAAGATATTGAAATTTAGAGACACATCAGTTTCTTTCTAGGATGGATTTACTTTCTTTCTTTCAAGTTCTCATTGTCATATGAATAAATGAATCTTCTGTTGAGTATCTGAGTTTTGAATACCTGAGTGTATGCTAATAGATTGCTTTCTGTGTTGTAGGCTGAGAATAGTTTCAGTGAAGAAGAGGAAGAAAAACTTCAAGCTGCATTTTCTCTGGAGAGACAAGATCTTCACCTAGTTCTTGAAACAATATCTTTTATTTTAGAACAGGTATTTTTATTGCCCCAAATTTCCTAACCATGGTTTGTTTACTACATGTTTGCATTGCTGTGATATCTATAACATTTTATCTTATTTTTCTCAAGTATACAGATGGAAGCTGTGAATATGTTTTATCAAAAAATTTTGATGTAGTAAAAAAATTTTGAATGTGTGATTTTTTTTCCATGGTATTGCGTTCCACTAAAACAGTCTTAGTGTTGAGCAGCATGAGTAAAGTATTTGACAGTATGAATCAAGACTTCGTTGACTTGAGACAGTTAAAAAAGATTCAAATTTATTGTTACTTGGTATAATAATTTGGAAAAATGAACACATTTTATTTAAGAAATTTAATAAATGATTTTGGAGGATCTATTTGACTAGGTTGATAAAACATTTAGAAAAGAAATATTTGTCAAAGGACCTTTTGTCATACTATTTCTTCCTACTGAGCTGTTCTTCTGCATCCCTTCTTTACATCTAAATTCAGTTCATTGTTCAAGTTCATTGTTCTGTTAAAATCACATCTCCTCCCACTGCAGCCTTGACCCCTTATATTTGCAGTCCTCCCCTTATTTGGATTCCTTTTATGCTTGGCTCATCATGGTAGAGCACATTGTTAGTCTTTTCATTATTTCATGTATGTCAGTTGTGTCTCCTTCACTAGGTTTTGAATTTGTATGGGGCCAGGATCACATTTTCTGTGCATCTTATGTAAATGTAGCACATTGCTGGGCTAAAAATAATTTTTTTTACCATCTTTATTGGAGTATAATTGCTTTACAATGTTGGGTTAGTTTCTGCTGTATAACAAAGTGAATCAACTATACGTATACATACATCCCCATATCCCCTCCCTCTTGTGTTTCCCTCCCACCCTCCCTATCCCACCCCTCTAGGTGGTCACAAAGCACTGAGCTGATCTCCCTGTGCTATGCAGCTGCTTCCCACTAGCTATTTTACACTTGGTAGTGTATATATGTCAATGTTACTCTCTCACTTCGTCCCAGCTTACCCTTCCCCCTCCCCGTGTCCTTAAGTCCATTCTCTATGTCTGCATCTTTATTCCTGTCCTGCCCCTAGGTTCATTAGAACCTTTTTTTTTAGATTCCATATATATGGGTTAGCATACAGTATTTGTTTTTCTCTTTTTGACTTACTTCACTCTGTATGACAGACTCTAGGTCCATCCACCTCACTACAAATGACTCAATTTTGTTTCTTTTTATGGCTGAGTAATATTCTGTTGTATATATGTGCCACATCTTCTTTATCCATTCATTGGTCAATGGACACTTAGGTTGCTTCCATGTCCTGGCTGTTGTAAATAGTGCTGCAATGAACATTGTGGTACATGACTCTTTTTGAATTATGGTTTTCTTAGGGTATATGCCCAGTAGTGGGATTGCTGGGTCATATGGTTCTATTTTTAGTTTTTTAGGGAACTGCCATACTGTTCTCCGTAGTGTCTATAAAAATAGATTCTTAATAAATTCCTGTTGTTTGATTAAGTAGAATACTTGTGAAGTAAAAGTTTATTTCACAATAAACAATACTGTAGCTTTCTGGGCATTCTAGTGAATAGATACCGTTAGGAGGACAAGCTGCTAGGCACCTACTACATGCAGCCTTATACAGGTTACAGATCATAAAGTTGATTATGGTTCTTATCCTTGGTGAACCTTCAGTAGAAGAAAAGGATAACTGAATAGGGCAGAGCAGCCTGGGGTTTATGAGGAAGTTTTTTCAGAATAATGTAAAAAACAACAGGTATCACCGTAAAAAAGTTTTCAGTTTTTTATCATATATTACCTAGGAAGTTGGTAGATGAACGTGGTTTTGAGAAAGTGTTTCTTGGAAAAATTTTGATAGTTGGGAAACAAAACCACTGTGTACTTATTTGAAATAATGAAATGAAATAAGGAAATGAACTTTTAATTAGGATACCATTTACATAGCCAAAGCAAAGAAGTTTTTCTCTTAAGTGGATTTAGTATTACTTAAACCACAGGCAAAAATGAAGCAGTTTAGCTTGAATAATTTAGGCCATTTAATTCTGAATCTTCCAGCCCTTGGTTGAGTATATTATTATTTGTAAAATAAAAAAATTTCTGCAGCAGAAATATGAAATTTTTAAAATTTAAATCATTTAAAATAATGTTGTATTTGATTACAGTTCAAGGTCTCTGTATGAACAGTAGGGATATATATAATTTTTTTTTCCTCTTTAATAGGCAGTATATTACAACGTGAAGCCAGCAGCTTTGCAGCAGCAGTTAGAGAACATTCATCTCAGACAAGACAAAGCAGAAGCATTTGTCAGTGCTTGGTCTTCTATGGGTCAAGAAACAATTGAAAAATTCAGGCAGAGGATTCTTGCACCCCACAAGGTATAGTATATACTACTCAAAAGATATTTTTCAATGTGTATGTATGGCATAAATTATTATATCTGAAAAGTTCCGCTCTCCTCTTTCTATTTTCTGGAAATATTTGTGATTGGTGTTATTTTGCATTTTCACCAGCATTATATTAGCGTTCCAGTAGTTCCAAATCCTTGTCAGCTCTTGGTATTGTCAGTTGTCTGTATTAAAGCTATTCTTTTAGGTTTTGTAATGATATCTTGTGTTTTGAATTTATATTTCCCTAATAACAGATTATGATGATTATCTTTTTATGTAGTTACTTGCCATCCATATGTCTCCTTTTGTGAAGTGTCTGTTCAGATCTTTTGTCTAACTGTATTTCCACACTGTGACAGATAATTATAGTAATATAAATATAAAGGACAATTACAAGTGTAAATCCCAGCATACAGAAATGCATGGGTTTTGTTTTTGTTCTTGTGTTTTTGGTAGTTACAATTTGTAGAAGGTGTTTGTTTTCTTTCTGTTGAGTTTTGTGAATCTTTTGAGTCCTTTGTCAGATATATGATTTGCAGATATTTTCTCTTAGTCTGTAGCTTTCCTTTTTAGTTTCTAACAGTGTCTTTTGCAAAGTAAAACCTTTAAAATCTGATCAAGTTTGATTTATCATTTTTTTCTTTTATTGATACTGCCTTTGGTTTTGTATCTTAACCTAAGTTTTTTTTTTGTAGTTGTTGTAAATGGTACTGGTTTTAAAATTTTGGTTTCTAGTTGTTTACTGCTAGTATATAGAAACACAATTGATTTTTATATATTGATATTGTATTCAAGACCTTGGTAAACTCACAAATTAGTTATAGCAGTTTTTTTGGTGGTTTTCCTTGTGATCTTCTTTGTAGAAAGTCAGATTGTTCATGCATATAGAGATAGTTTTATTTCTTCCTTTTCAGTTTGTTCACCTTTTGTTTTTCCTGCCTTACTGTACTGACTAGGCTTATAATATGATGTTGAATAAGATTGGTAAGTTTGAACATCATGCTTTGTTCCCAGTTTTAGAGAGGAAGCATTCAGTCTCTCATCATTAAGTAAGATGCTGGGGACTTCCCTGGTAGTCCAGTGGTTAAGACTCCTCGCTTCCACGGCAGGGGAACAGGTTCAATCCCTGGTCAGGGTAGTAAGATCCTGCATGCTGGGTGGTACGGCAAAAAAAATTAAAAAGAGAGTAGGATGGTGGTTACCAGGGACTGGGGCTGGGGTAGGGAAATGGAGGCAATGTTGTTCAAAGAATACAAATTTCCAGTTATAAGATGAATAAATTCTGGGGATCTAATGTATAAAGTAGAAACAAAAAGATGCTAGGTATGGGTTTTTAGAAAATGCCCCGGTATTGTTTTCATTTCTCTCTTTTTCTTTTAAACTGTACATTCTAAGAGCTCTCAAGTGTCCTCCACATCACAGTTTCATTTTTCATTTTAATTTCTGCTTTTTCCTGTACCCTGTACAGATTTTGTTTTCCATTTTTTATCCCTAAAATTTTTTTAACCATTGCCATTAAAAAAAAAAATCTCTACTTGTCTTTGAATATTTGCCTATTTTTTATATTTATATAATTTTCTTCTGTTTTTTTCTTGCATTTATATAAGTACAGTATACTTGTATAGTTAAAAATATTTCTTTTTTCACCTCTGATAGTAAGTCATTTTTTATTGTTTTCTGGCTGATAGTTTGTTGCTTTTTTAAAAGTAATATTTCTGGGGCTTCCCTGGTAGCGCAGTGGTTAAGAGTCTGCCTGCCAATGCAGGGGACCCGAGTTCAAGCCCTGGTCTGGGAAGATCCCACATGCCGCAGAGCAGCTAGGCCCGTGTACCACAACTACTGAGCCTGCGAGCCACAACTACTGAGCCTACATGCCACAACTACTGAAGCCTGTGTGCCTAGAATCCGTGCTCCGCAACAAGAGAAGCCACTGCAATGAGAAGCCCATGCACCACAACGAAGAGTAGTCCCCACTCGCCACAACTAGAGAAAGCCCGCGCGTCGTGGTGAGGACCCAACGCAGCCAAAAATAAAATAAATAAAAAAAATTTTTTTAAAAAGTAATATTTCTTCCTTATGTTGTATTACATTAACTTCTGTTTAAGAAGTAGTTTGATCAGTTGTTATATAAAATATGCAAAAAAGTAGTTGGATATGATTAATTGGTCCCTATGACACTGGTCCCTTGAGAATGTAGGAAATTATCTTTTGCCAATACAGAGTATATGAGAGGGTAGCTAATACATTTTTTAATACCTTAAATGCTAATTAAGATCATATAATAATATCAAACATTTCTTATGTTTACGGTGGACCAAAAACTCTACTCAGTGCATTATATCTTATAAGATCCATTAATAGTTCTAGTTTATATTTAAAATTAAACTGAGGATTAGAGAGATTAAATAATTGGTCCATGGTCACGCAGCTAAATAAGTGGTAGAGTTGGGATTTAACAAAGTAGTTACACTCCTAAGCCACTGTGCTCTACTACCACCTAAATGTTAGCAGCAAAATTTTTCTGTGTCAGGCTTTATGCAGGGTAGTTTACATAGTTTGTGTGTGTATATGTGTGTTTTATATCTTTGAAAAAGAAATAAAACTTTCGAAAGTGTAACTTTACCGTGTTAACCCAAGTGGTCCATGGTGACGGTGAGGTGGGAATCAGATTGGGCTCTCTCTCTTTTTTTTTTAAATTTTATTTATTTATTTTTGGCTGCATTGGGTCTTCGTTGCTACGTGCAGGCTTTCTCTAGTTGTGGTGAGCGGGGGCTACTCTTTGTTGCGGTGCGTGGGCTTCTCATTGCGGGGGCTTCTCGTTGCAGAGCACAGGATCTAGGTGCATGGGCTTCAGTAGTTGTGGCATGCAGGCTCAGTAGTTGTGGCACACAGGCTCTAGAGCGCAGGCTCAGTAGTTGTGGCACATGGACTTTAGTTGCTCCGTGGCATGTGGGATCTTCCCAGACCAGGGCTCAAACCTGTGTCCCCTGCATTGGCAGGCGGATTCTCAACCGCTGCACCACCAGGGAAGTCCGAGGTTGGTCTCTCTCTTAATTGAGCCTTTTATGTCGTGGTACCTCTGACAACTATAATGTTATCTTCCTTTTTGCCCTGTTGACTGTTAAGATATGGTGACTAAAATAGCTGTGGATGAAAATAGATCATGTCATTTAAATTGTAACAGAAATATATGGCAGTGATTTATTATATAATGAACAAAAGTTGTATTTGCAAAGACTGTTTTATAGTCATTTAGAGGTTAACATAAACTGTGTGGTGCTTGCAGTGGAACATCTGTGTAATTCTGAATTCAAAGAGAGTCAGATTCAGTTAAATAACAAGTTAAAAAATCAAAAGGAACTTATTTTTAATTCAGTTTTTAAAAACACCTCTTTTCATCTTCTATTATTTAAATCTGATAAGTGAGAGGCAGATTGAAAATTGATTGGATAGCTTTTTACAGGATATGATTGAAGGGATTTAAAAATTTTATCCTGTCTCACTTTTTTTTTTTTTTTTATCTTAACCTCTTTGGACACTGAAATGTTACCACTGCTTATTAGAATTGGTAGTCTTCCCTCTTTTATCAGTGTTGACTATGTTAGCAGTGTCCTTCTAACAGGATTTTCTGTTTGATTTTTGTTAAAATGCCTGTGTGGTTACAACATTTATTAAATTATGAATACCCTTTCAGACAGAACTTGAATACTATGTTTAATTTTACTCCTAAAATTCTGGTTAGAGTTCCTTTATGTATATTCCTGCTATACAAAATGTAAAAACTTATATGTTAAATATTACTGACATATTGATACATCTCTTTTTTTCTGAGACCTTAAGGAAAAGAATTGTGTTTTTTTATATGATATTTTTTCTAAGATATTTTTACATTTGAAGTTCACCCTATTCCTCAGTAACAGATATGATTATGAGAAATATACATAAGGCATATTTTTAGCACTCTGAGTAGCCTGCTCTTTAAAGGCTACTGATTCCTGTACTGATTCCTTTTCTTAAAATGTACTTGTATGTTTGTTAGGAAGATTTTAAGGATAAATTTGACAGTTGTATTTGTTTTGAATGCTCAAAATGTGTGTATTGTGATTTCGTCCTGTTAAGAGTGCTCTTAATTTTACCAGTTACATAGCAAATTTATTATTTCATTATGTAGTGAAAATTCATCATGTCTCATATGTTCTTGAGAAACCTGCATTTTAAAATGGATGGCTAGGGCTTCCCCGGTGGCGCAGTGGTTGAGAGTCCGCCTGCCGATGCAGGGGACACGGGTTCGTGCCCCAGTCTGGGGAGATCCCACATGCCGCGGAGCGGCTGCGCCCGTGAGCCATGGCCGCTGAGCCTGCGTGTCTGGAGCCTGTGCTCCGCAACGGGAGAGGCCACAACCTTGAGAGGCCCGTATACCGCAAAAAAAAAAAAAAAAAAAAAAAGGATGGCTAATGTTCTTAAGATAATAATGTTCCTAAACAGTCTTTTAAAAAAATCCTCTTTAAGCCATTATAATAAGATTTACTTTATTGTTAAGTGTAACAACTAATTGTTTGCTTCATTAATTGTTAAATATCTGTCTTTTATATGTAATATAAGAAATTTAGATTTGACATTTTTAAAACTTAGTGTATTCTTTTGTTTTATTATTTTCTTTTATATTCTTATTTCATTTCTTTTGGAATTCTAAGGATGGATGAATGGCTTTATTAAAAAGAGAACAGAAAAAACATACTTCATATAGCTAAATCTAAATACGTAACTATGAATACATATCTGAGTGCTTTTTCAAGATTTAAATGCTTCTTAACATTATCATCTGCATTTATAGGAAAGGTATTTTGTTATAATTATATCCATATACAAGTCAAATTTCTGCCTCATTTGTTGCGTTAGTTGTTGGCATGTTAAGAATGAAGTGAAAGCCATGGTTTTTCCATATGCTGGAATTGACTGAATGTAAATGTTTGTGAGATTTAAATGCT